CGGATAGGAGCAAAAGGGGCAGCAGAGGTGGTATTTTCACTTTATAAGCATTCATTAAGAAACTTGATAAGAGTACTCATTACTGTAATTTCAGATTGGTCTCTTTGAATGACTTGGATTATTTTATAGGTAAAAGCTCATCCTTTTTTCAATGGAGTTAATTGGGACAGCCTCGCATTGCAAAAGGTAAGAGTGTCTACCCTCTTGGTTCTTTTAGATGCTTAGTATTTTTGTTCTGACATTCTTGAATAATTCAAATCATGATGCAACATGTTTTATATGAGTTACATATTGCTTAGACAATCCTCAGTATGTTAAGATTTTAGTTATTTGCAATGCCTAAAATCCAGGAAAACATATTTTGGAGCAATTATATTGAGAGAAGTGAATAAAACAATGTATAACAAGCATATATATTTGTGTTGGTAATCACTTAAGGTGCATAGCATACCTGCTATGGGTATGGTAATGCTGGTTTTCCAGAGGAGAAGAAAGTTCTTATCAGTGATGCTGCATCTTGAATTTTTGATAGGAGGACATGATTTCATGCTATTTTATCTTTAATGGCTCTGTTTCTAGTTACAAATATGAGTTGATTGCAATTTTCCAACTAAGGTATCACTTAATAACAATTCCCTACTTAGATATCTGAAACAACTACTTACCTCCTATTGATTTGTTTGGGCTTTTGTTATTTGACTAACACATTTTACCCTTGATCCGTTAATTAACCCTAAAACCCTAGCATACCATGAATGCTTTCACTTTTCAAGTTGTGAATTCTTTCTTGAGCGCTTATAAAATTAAGTTTAAATCTATTTTATGTATACATACTACTATGTGGATGTTCTTGTTTGTGTGTAAGAATCTGTGTATGTTTTGAAAGAGACGGGAATTCTGATGCATCTTAGTGCAAATACCGAATCTTTCTCCTTGTGAGGGGGAATTTTATATATTGTTAACTTTGCCTTCATTCGTTTTTGTTTGCAGGCGGCCTTTGTACCGCAGCCTGAAAGTATAGATGACACAAGCTATTTTTTATCACGCTTTAGTCAAATTTCTAGTGGATTTCCAGATGATCAGAATAGTAGCAATTCTGACATTGACACTTGTGGCTCATCCTCAAATTCTGGAATTGAGGTAAAGTGATATTTGACCTCCCAAAAAAAACATGTTTATGATTCCAATGGAAACAAGTTTTTTTGGCTTCACAGAAATATGTATATATACATATATGTATGAAAATTCTTAGTTGTGGACGTCTTGAAGTTTTTAACATATAGACCAAAGGTGAACGATTGGTCATTGTCTTTGATTTTGCATTTTGTGGAGGTGGTGACTGGTCCCTTATCTTTGGTCCCTACGTTAAAAACTTCAAGACTTTCGTACTAGAGATTGACTATATATATATATATATTTATGATATTTTACTGGGATAACTGTTTTGAATAGATAGTTTATGTTTGATTGCATGAATGATATTAATGTGAGTTGCACGTAATGATGCTTGTCTTCAATGGAATTAATTTCCTTTGTTCTGATTAGTGAGTTTCGTGGTGTAATAGTAGTCTCAATTTCATATGCATACCTCATTAAAATATGCTCTTTCAAATTGACTTATATGCTAAGCAGCTAATGCATATTATCTGTGTGCATTCGGCAATGAAGCTAGAGTTCTAGCTTATCATAAGGCACTTGTCTTAATGAATTTGTGATTTTAATTATTTTTATGAATACATAATTTTATACTTCTGAATGCAGAGTTAAAGTTCTAGATCTTAATATAAAGTTTTATTCCATGTCCATTTTGTTCTCTTCTTTTACTTTTCCTTTATTAGCAAGGGTGGTGTGAAGAATTTGTACCTATTTCTTATAAGTTTTAAAGTTCTTGAAATCTTAATCTTTTGTTTTTTTCTTTTTCTTTCTTTCCTTATATTCAGATGGATGAATGTGCTGACCTGACGGACTTTAATTCTTCGCCTCTGGATCTATCATTAATAAATTTCTCTTTCAAGGTAAGCTTAGTTATAAAAACTAACAACATACTAAATACATTGAATAAAAAATGCTTAAGTGAATTAACGACACGCTAAATACTTACATCCGAAATGCTTGAGTGAATAATAAATTTGCAAGTATACTCAGGATTGTGTTTCAAATATATATATAATTGTATCCCAGCTATTGTTAAATTGGACTGGACCGCGCATTATCAGATTCAGCGTTAGAGTTGAGGCTTCAACTCGGCCAATTATTATGACCCAAAATTGAGGATTTGAAAATGAAAGTTAGAATCTTTATTTCCTCAGAATCTTTATTTCCTCTAATTGCCGTAAGTAATGAAATCTTTATATGAATTTATACCATTAGAAATTATAATTTTCGGTTCTCCCATGCTTATGAAACACTCGTGATTCTTCTAAAAGATGGGACACGGGTGATTAAATTTAAGTTCATATGCTAACATTTTGGTTGTAGTAGAACTTGTATCAGTTTTGTGAATGAAGTTCTGTTTGCAGAATTTGTCACAGTTGGCAGCAATAAATCATGACGTGCTCATACAAAACGGCAGGGATTCAGCAAAGGGCTCTCCTGCAAAAGGTCCTGGAGTCTAGGTCATAGTTTTATCCCATACGGCCAAATATACTATAGAGGTATCTGTTTTTGCAGTTTTTGTGGCACAAATCAACTAGAGAAATACATATAACGAAGATAGTGGTAGGGAGAGAGAGAGAGGGGAGGGCGTGTGGTGTTTAGGTGTGAATAGCTCAAGAAGAATTCCAATATTTATACAATACTTTTTCTGAGCTCCAGTATTCGTTCATGTACATGTCATACTCCAGCACCAGCCGGTAATATTTCTAACCTTAGCCTTTGAATTCAACAAATAGAGTTCACACTTTCTTTCTATGAACACTCGTTTTAAAGTAGTATATCTATGAGGTGAACACCTATAAAACTTTTTGGATCTAATGTATGAGAAATTTTTACAATTTTAAAAATTTGTGTTAAAAAAATTCTCTACTTAATGTTTAAGTATAAGCACTTAAGCAGTTGTCTATATAATTCTGAAAATAGATTTTACACATTCAAATAGTAATCTACGAGAAAATCTAGCCAGCAACTGAATCATTTGAAAATCAGATCATAAAATTGGCGTAGAAACTAATTTCCATCTTAACATTGTGAGATTCGTCTAACCTAATCTCATTGCCTATAAACTCTCCCGTCACAGAACTTGCATCTCAATAACAATTGCTCAAACACAAGGCAACTGTAATGGAATCCGCAAATAAAGAGAAAAAAAGAGAGGTGGAGACTTCTTCGAAGAAACGCCAGAGAGTTCAATCAATAAAATCGCTATCATGTGACTCATGTCCCGTTGAAAGGCATAAACTTTGTTAGAACAAGTGAAATTTTACTTGACATTTTTTTATTAAATAATGAAAAAGCACCCAAATCAGAAACTTAAGCATGCATATTAAGACTGACAATTAAAATAAACTNTAATTGTATCCCAGCTATTGTTAAATAGGACTGGACCGCGCATTATCAGATTCAGCGTTAGAGTTGAGGCTTCAACTCGACCAATTATTATGACCCAAAATTGAGGATTTGAAAATGAAAGTTAGAATCTTTATTTCCTCAGAATCTTTATTTCCTCTAATTGCCGTAAGTAATGAAATCTTTATATGAATTTATACCATTAGAAATTATAATTTTCGGTTCTCCCATGCTTATGAAACACTCGTGATTCTTCTAAAAGATGGGACACGGGTGATTAAATTTAATTTCATATGCTAACATTTTGGTTGTAGTAGAACTTGTATCAGTTTTGTGAATGAAGTTCTGTTTGCAGAATTTGTCACAGTTGGCAGCAATAAATCATGACGTGCTCATACAAAACGGCAGGGATTCAGCAAAGGGCTCTCCTGCAAAAGGTCCTGGAGTCTAGGTCATAGTTTTATCCCATACGGCCAAATATACTATAGAGGTATCTGTTTTTGCAGTTTTTGTGGCACAAATCAACTAGAGAAATACATATAACGAAGATAGTGGTAGGGAGAGAGAGAGAGGGGAGGGCGTGTGGTGTTTAGGTGTGAATAGCTCAAGAAGAATTCCAATATTTATACAATACTTTTTCTGAGCTCCAGTATTCGTTCATGTACATGTCATACTCCAGCACCAGCCGGTAATATTTCTAACCTTAGCCTTTGAATTCAACAAATAGAGTTCACACTTTCTTTCTATGAACACTCGTTTTAAAGTAGTATATCTATGAGGTGAACACCTATAAAACTTTTTGGATCTAATGTATGAGAAATTTTTACAATTTTAAAAATTTGTGTTAAAAAAATTCTCTACTTAATGTTTAAGTATAAGCACTTAAGCAGTTGTCTATATAATTCTGAAAATAGATTTTACACATTCAAATAGTAATCTACGAGAAAATCTAGCCAGCAACTGAATCATTTGAAAATCAGATCATAAAATTGGCGTAGAAACTAATTTCCATCTTAACATTGTGAGATTCGTCTAACCTAATCTCATTGCCTATAAACTCTCCCGTCACAGAACTTGCATCTCAATAACAATTGCTCAAACACAAGGCAACTGTAATGGAATCCGCAAATAAAGAGAAAAAAAGAGAGGTGGAGACTTCTTCGAAGAAACGCCAGAGAGTTCAATCAATAAAATCGCTATCATGTGACTCATGTCCCGTTGAAAGGCATAAACTTTGGAAGCACAAGTGAAATTTTACTTGACATTTTTTTATTAAATAATGAAAAAGCACCCAAATCAGAAACCTAAGCATGCATATTAAGACTGACAATTAAAATAAGAATAATACTATGCATACTTACGAGTGTACTAACCATCGTATTAACCTTTGTAAATATAAAGCATAGTACGGATACCACGAGCATAGTACGTGTACTATATGTAATTTTAACAAAGGTTAGTAAAATTATTAGTAAAATCCGTGAGTACACATAGCATTACTCTTAAAATAAACTCCATGCTCATTGCTTTTGCCAGGTACGGATATGCAAAAATACAATTACAAAATGAGCGACCTTCACAAAATTGAACATATTAGTAGGTCAAAAGGCTGAACTATTTTGGTTGGATTTTCATGCATACATACAGAGGTCAAGAATGATTAAATATAAAGTATGGTCATCAACATCGCAGCTCAGACTGGAATTGGCAATCCCTTCTTTGCCATGCTATCTAGTATATCATTGAGGGCTTGACACAAGCCAACTATCTGCAAAATCCAATGAACAAAATATAAGTGTCTCTACAAAAAAATTAATCTAGCATCATGGACAGTTAGACCCAATCCAAATCACAAAATTAAATTTAATTAAAAAGCGAGTGATAACAATCAAGATCTAATATTTACCTGCTGATCCCATTGTTGCAGCTCTTCAGTATCATCCTCAAAATGTATGACAGCTTCCACCTGTGTATTTAATCATTCGGAAATCAGATGGGTGCCAGTGAATAACGAATATGAACCTATTTGCTTGGCTAATTAGCTGGTCCAATTTCTCTATATAAAAATCATATCAAATAATAGACCAGTCCACCAATAATGCAAAAGATGTATAAACAAGGCAACACTACTTTAAATGGCCTCGGTGAAAAAAAAATATCAAATACAAGGAAAGGATGTTCCAGCATTCACATTCATTATTGGTGTCAGTTTAGATTACGAAAAATTGTGTGCTGGTATGCCACACCTGATCAATGGATCCTCTCATTCTGTCCTCATAAATCATTCTTGATGCTATCTTCTCAGCCTATAAGGAAGAATCAACAACATAATAAACTCTTTAAAAAAATAAACACTGAAATATAAATGTAAACTTCCCAGAGGAGTCATACAGCAAAAAAGAAAAAAAAGAAAAAAAGGCAAGACTCGAATAATTTCCATAGCAAGAGAACCAACATAGACAACTAAAAACCAAGATCAAATTAAAACATATATAAGAAACAGCAGAATTAACAGGCACCAAAACTAAAAAAGGGCAGCAACAATGCATTCCAGTAATTTAATAATTTTGAGGGCTGGTACATGTATAGAATAAAGTAAAGCATNATGCCACACCTGATCAATGGATCCTCTCATTCTGTCCTCATAAATCATTCTTGATGCTATCTTCTCAGCCTATAAGGAAGAATCAACGACATATTAAACTCTTTAAAAAAATACACACTGAAGTATAAATGTAAACTTCCCAGAGGAGTCATACAGCAAAAAAGAAAAAAAAGAAAAAAAGGCAAGACTCGAATAATTTCCATAGCAAGAGAACCAACATAGACAACTAAAAACCAAGATCAAATTAAAACATATATAAGAAACAGCAGAATTAACAGGCACCAAAACTAAAAAAGGGCAGCAACAATGCATTCCAGTAATTTAATAATTTTGAGGGCTGGTACATGTATAGAATAAAGTAAAGCATGAAACTAACGACCATGACTTTGTGGAAGCAGGGATTGCATACTTATCATTTTGCCAAGATAAACAATATCATAACTTGAGAAGAGAATAAAATACAGTCTAGAGAAGGGAATGTAGCACAACTAAGCCGAATTCTTATTAAATCTACCATAAAATGATATTAAAGAAGATCAAGTTGAGAAACACCCATAAATCCAGTTTGGACATCATAGAAAACAAGTGTAATTTTCTAGCATAATGATGTATTACAATGATCATTTCACCAGGACTTACCCAGGGTAGTGAAAATTGAATTTATTAAACTCTTAACAAATAGCATGATCAGGGGAAGCAAAACTCAAAAATCAAATTGCTATCACACCTTGTGAGGCGCAATGCCTAGCAAAGTTCCCAACTCCTCAAAACTTATATTAGTGTAAAGCTTGCTTGCACTCAAGAGATTATGCTCAATCATGGCACGATCCAGCACAGTAAAATTGTCAGGCAGAAGCGCTTTCTGTTTAATTTAATGAAAAGTGAGAATTGCCACTACAGCTTACAGCAAGTAAATGATTGAAGATCCAACATGTTAAAGTAGCAAGAGCATTAGTAACCTGATGAGGTTTTAGTTCTTCAGAAAATGCATCAATTTCAGGCCTTCTCAATATTCTCTCCAAATACACCTGGTAAATTCCACATAAAGATTCCATTAAGAGCAAAAAAGTCGTAAAAAAGTATACAAGAAATTTGAAATTCAATTGAATTTGTCAACACACACAAACAGAGAAAGAACCTTTTGCAATATTGGATAAATTTTCAATTTTGAGCACCGTTCATCCTGAATTATTATTCCAATAAATCAGTACAATATAAATTAAGAAATGCAAACTAAATTCTCAAATGCATCTTATATCAAATAAAACTAAATTCTCAAATGCATCTTATATCAAATAAGGGTTTACTTTGTACAAAGTGGCAAGAACACGAGAACGTTGTGGACCTGCAGCAGCCAAAATAGTACATGTCACAGCAGCAGATAGAGCTTGCTCCAATGCTTCCTCATCAATTGTTCTGAACAATAGCAAATTTAGGTAAGTATATCAAGTGCATCACAAAATAATATCTTTTCATACTTCTAAAATAGAAAGAAGGCAAAAGACATACAGAAGTCAATGACATAAAAATAAAACTAGAACTTCCAGCTGCATTTGGCATTCATGATATCACCAAGGTGCCAAGACCAGAATCATACTAATTGAGCAAATAAGAACAAATCTTTAAACCTGGATGAATTTTCACATTTATCATACAATTCTGGGTATAATATTTAATACCAAAGAAACAGATACTGAATTTAAAGCACAACTTAAAAATTGCCAATTTTGTCAACTTAGACTCCAAGATGTCAAATTATCTGAAATTAAGGGGAAAACAAAAACACTCATAGCATACAATGCATGCCAACCACCAAATGTTTCTGAAAACAAAATAACTGTTGAAAATATTGGCACAATTGTTAGCAGCATACAAGTTTACATACTCGTCTCCAATTTGCCGCTTCTCAATTTGAGATATGTCATAATACCGTAATGCTGCTTCCAAGAACTTCCTTTTTAAATCCAGAATCCGAGCATAACAAACCTAATAACAAAAAATGAATCAAGAAAATACAAAATATTCTCAGGAAACAATCAACCTTAGCATCAAAAAAAGCCAAACCTTGTATTGTAAATTCAAGACTTCATGCTGACTGCTGCTAACCAAGAATGAAGCTTTATTAATAAAAGCTTCTGCATTAACAGCATCATCATCCTGCATAATGCAGAGTCATAATCGAAGGCAATTTGAAATGAAGACACATCATCCTTCAGTGAGACCCCCAATCCTAGACATTAACTTATAAACCAAACAGAGCATGAACCACAAATATTTAAAAAAAAAAAAAAAAAAAGATTCAATTAGTGTTGGACAAAAACACTCCAGTGCATTACAATATGTCCACTAAACTTGAAGGTTTACCTTTGCTGAATATAATTACATACAGATTAACAAGCACCTGATAACAATTACCAACTAACCCATACAATTTTGTTTATACTATTGCTGTTACTTTATATATATACCAGAACAACTATCCTGATTATCCCTACCCAAAAGAAGCAAGAGCAAATGCAAATGTGAAAACATAAATACACATTGGTCAGTGCCTCAACATTCAACAGTTACTAAGAACAGGGGAAGTACCATGCTCCATAACAGGACTCATACATATTGACGTATAAAATATGAAATCTTTTCAGCATGAAACTACACTTGCACCATGAAATCAATACCTCTAGGTATAGGCGAGCAATTTGGACACACTTTGACAACCTGAATGTATCATCAATGACTCTGATGCATATCACAAAAGAATATATCAGAAGAGAGTGTAAAAATACCCAATTTTATAAGCAATAAGAGGGAAAAATATTAACCTCATACCTCATTCCAGAGTCCAGATCAATGCCACTGAGCATCTGAGCCGCTTTTGACCATTGCTGCTCAGACTCATATAAATCAGCAAGTTTCTCCCTGATAATTAACACCTACATTCATACAAAAGAAACAGGTTTCTGCTAATGAAAAAACATGAAATAAATTTCTACTAATGAAAAAAGAATCACATGAATTGATGAAAAATAATTGGTAAGTGCCAACTATCTTATTGTCAGTACGTGAAATATACAACCCCAACATGGAAAAAACACACACAAAAGTAAAAAAGGAAACCAACAAGTAGTGTAAAGTAACTAAATTAAAACATTAATAGCATATGAACTTCCGAAGATGCAATGCTCAAATCCATTTTTTTCTAAAACTTTTCAACATTCATTGTTAATTGCAATCTGATAGCTGGTTATAGATGGCAAGGTTCAACACACTTGCAATGTAACTATAACAACAAACAGTATTTGATTTCAAAGCACATACTGTACTGTCATATTATACTTGAGAAAAAGGCCAAATATCCAGCGATCCTGTCAGTCAATCATGTTATGAATCATATACACTTGAAAAGAGGACTGACTACTCAGCAACCTAATAAGGCAATCTTCAGGACAACTGAAGTTTCTATCATATCCACAGAGTTACAAGGGAAGAAGAAAAAATTTAGAACCTCCAAAATAACTCAAGATATATAGAAAATAAGGATCAACTGAAGAACATACAATTTTTTTAATAAAAGAAGCAATTCCATTTACTTATTGTCAAACCATTGACGTCAAAATCTACTCAATAAAATTAAATGGGATGATGAGTGCTGAATAGAAGGGAAAAAAATGATGTCATTCAAAGCAACAACTAATCCCAAATAACTTCGGCTGGTGAAACGGGAAATTCAAATTCGACAATTAGGGGAAAAAAAATCAATGCGGAATCCATATGTTCAAAAAGGAACCTGTTCTTCGAAGGAAACAACACGAGGCTGAATCTGAGCGAGGGTATAATTGGCAATATCTTTTTGCGTCTCCGCCCGTAATCTCCCTAACTCTTGAGCAAAAGTTTGCAAAAGCTGACGCGAAACCACCAACGGTACATCATCCGACAACACTGCCAAAACAAAGTAACAAAAAAGAGAATCGATCTTAATAATAATCGACTAAGTAACCAAAAAATTCCACTGAATTTCAAAAACCCTAGGATAGGAGTTACTATGATCGATGAATTTCCTGGCTTGAACGATGTCGTTTGAGGAGATTACAGAAGAGAGAATGTGCTTGTACTGTTCGATCTTTTGCCTCTGGTCTGTGATCGCAGAGGCCGTCACTAATGCGTTCTCCATTGTTTTTCTATTTTTCTCGATTGATTTTTCTTTGTTTATAATCGAAATCGTAAACCCTAGTTTTTCGAAACACGTTGGCAACAACTCGCTGCTTAAAACACTGAGTATTTGCCTTCCCCTGTCACTCACTGTGTGTTGAACGGTGGTCCTGTTGAGTCCCAGACACTCCTTATAAAGAACGATGTCGTGGGACCTAGTTACCTGTTGTCGATTTAACAGCTATTTTATTAAATATGCTATTAATTCTATTTGTATAAAAAGTTAAAAACTACTTAAGTTTTAATAATCCGATCTTTTTCTCATTCTCATTGGAGAAGAGATTAACACATTGACTAGTTTAAGAAAACACAAATAATATGTTATTAACTATAACTTGTCAAATTAAGTAATTTTTTAATAAAATAATTTTATTAAAACATATATTTTAAATAAACAAATTTAATTATACGTAAATCTTTATGAAAAAAATTGAGGCTTCGTTTGATTGGATTTTGGGAATACTACTTTTAGTATTCCCAAAAAAGTTAAACAGTAAAATACCAAAAAACTCACAATATTATTCAACTTTATTCAACATTTTTTAAATCCCCTAAATTAGTTAATTCAATTAAATACCCCTAAATATTTTTAATGTTTTTGTTACGGTGACTCCGGCCACCCTCCGGCGGTGGTGGCCGGCTGTCCGTATTTGAGGGTGGATTGGGGGTGTTTTTGTTAACTTTTAATGTTTTATTATAAGGGATGTTTTGTAAAAAAACAAACATAGGGGGTGTTTTATAATTTATAAATCTTACATCGTAATACCCACCCAATTCAACTTTTTTTTTAACTTTTTTCAAAAAACTTTTCCCAAAAACATAAAATTGTGAACCAGGCGAAGCCTGAATAATTTAAATTGCGAATTCGTATTATGAAAGGGCAAAGGTGCAGAGTTTGGTGTAATCATCTACCGTGAATAATGTAAGCTGATCTGCTGAATATTGATTTAAAAAGGCATCAGTGACGTGATGGAATTGTATACCACAGTTCATGGAAGTTTGCCATGCAGAATACAAGGACAAAATCCTTCAACTACTTGTTTATTTTGTGGCTATCAAATTGATGCACTTCCCATTTGCCAAAACCATCCTGCATATTTTGAATTTTCTAATATAGAGTGAAGCTGCAATAGGAATTGGGTAAATTTATTCGTTGAGAGCACATTTTCCCATAGGAAATTGACGAAAAGGCTTAGTCAAAATTATATTTACGTTTAGTTAAGATAATTTAATAATATTATTTTTATTAAAAAAAAAAAAAATAAAAAAATTTTAAAAAAAAAAAAAGTAGAAAGTCATCGTCACAGGAAATCTCCTTAGACGAAGAATCGAATTTGAGACTGCATGTCTAATCATATGATTTTTAATTTGTTATAACCATCTAAACTAGTTATGAATAGGTTGAATTTCAACTAATATAATCTAAAGTTAAATTTATTTAGTACATGATCATATGAATAAATAGGCCAATTCATTTGGCATAAAGCCCATAGCAGCAGTTGGCACTCTACCAAGAAAGATGTAAAATAAAAAGAAGCAAGTGGACATAGTAATAAAATTATAGGGAGCACTCGGTTACATACTACCGACAGGTTACACCACCGATGAGAAATAGTGCAGTTAGCAAAGTTTGGGGTAGCCATATCATATCGCTTCCTATAATTAGCTACAAATTTTATTTCTCTACTCTGGAAACGCGATCATCTCTCTCCGGTGGTTTTTTTCACTCAAACAACATATCGAGATCCTTGTAATTACAATTAAAAGCTTAAGCAAACTGAAATGGATAACACGGGTAGGTTTTTGTAATGATTTTCTTCTCTCTTCTGTTGTTGTCAATTCTGTTACGTTGTGATAATGGCGGTTTTTATCCGAATTTCTTTTTCATTTTTTTTCCTGCTCATTTTGTTTGCTGAGTAAATTGGAGAAAATTGAAAGAATCTTAAAACAGTTAATTCACGGTTGTTTGTTACGCGATTCCGAAAGAATATTTTCTGCAACTAAAAGGATTTGTTTCTCTTTAAACTTTGTTTTTTATACCGCAGGGGTTTCAACTGAACTGTGGAGTTGATTTAGTCGAAAAAGGGGTTCGAATTTAGTGTTAAATCGCTTTCATTCGTAGTCTCTTAAGATTGAGTTTAATAGAACTTGAGGCGGTTTTTTTTTTTTTTTATCTTTAAATTAAGTTTTAAGTCTATTCTCATATCGGTGTTAATTTGTGATGGAAGAGGAATTACTATAGATTTGGTTTCGCGCTTCATGTCTATAATCTTGGGGATTATATTAGCTAATACAATATAGTTCTGGGATTGGGAATTGTTCATTGCTTTTGGTGGCTATATTTCTCATTTCCCTACTATTACGACTGATGTTCAAGTTACATTCATGTATTTAACTTGTATTTAAATTCTTTAAATGCTCGGCAGAGAATCCCCAGGGCACTGCAGTGCCACCAGTGGAAGGTGTTGCTGGAGGAGGGACAGCTTATGGATGGAATGATGAAGGTTCAGATCCACTCAAAGGCTCCATCAACCCTGCCGAGGTTCCAACTGGAGACTTGATGCATGTATGGTGCTTGCCAAGCACAGCGAATGTTGGACATCAGGAAATGCCTAGACATTTAGAGCCTGTAAGAATTGTAATATAATTTTTTATTTCTTTTATTTCATGGTTGAATTTTCTTAAAGTGATCTCACCTTAGCACTTGTTTTATGAACATGTTACTTGATAAAAATGCTTATCGCAGCTTCTATTTCCTTTCATTTGCATTATGTGCCCGAGTGTAATGTTCGCAGATGCACACCTGGCTTTACTTACTTACATCTTTGAATAATTTGATGACGTTATGCTTTTTAGGCAATGTGGTTATCTGGTAAATCAATAGCTAATGGTGCTACTAAGCATGTGAATACTTGATTTCTTAAGTGCACATCATATCCATGTGTTAATGCCCACATGACCCAACTTGTTTCTCTTTTTTATGAAATACGTTTCAGACTACGTAATTTAAAAGGGAATTGGTAAGTTCAGCATAGGTTGGGGTGTCTGGGTTTTCTTGGATAGTTATCTTTTCCACTCATATTTTTGGCAAGTGAGCTATAAATTCAGGGACTTACTTCAAGGAACCTTGATTTATGAATATATGATCCCTGCCATCATTTTCTCTCAGAATAAGAAGGAGATGTTTCGTCATTTCTTTTATTTGTTTTAATTGTATCTGCTTCTGATGTTTTATGGCTATGTGGAGTGGCTTTTGCATTCAGGAATCTAAATTTTCTTTTCTTATCTTTAAGATAAATCTTCTGGCAGCTAGAAATGAGAGAGAATGTATTCAAATTGCTCTTCGTCCAAAAGTCTCTTGGAGCAGTTCTGGTATTGCTGGGGTTGTGCAGGTTCAGTGTACTGATTTATGCTCCACATCTGGCGATCGGTTAGTTGCTTGAAAACATATTCTTCTTGACACAGCTTGATGAATCACTCCTCTGGTTTATGATCTTGCTGATATTGGCTCTTGGCAGGTTGGTTGTTGGCCAATCACTATCGTTGCGGCGTGTCGTACCAATATTAGGTTTCCCTGATGCTCTAGTACCCCTTGACCTTCCAGTTAGTCAGATAAACTTACTTCCTGGGTAATGTCCATTCATTGATTAGTTAGTCAGATAAACTTACTTCCTGGGTAATGTCCATTCATTGATTTGATAATGCTTATGTTATTATAGTGTGAAGAAAACTTGGATGGTTTCTTATTGCCTGAAATTGAGATGGCATTGTTGGTCTTTCCCTGCTGCAGGGAAACAACTGCGATTTGGGTTTCTATAGATGTTCCAAGTGCGCAGCCCCCAGGTCTATATGAAGGGGAGATCATAATCACTTCTAAGGCAGATGCAGAGTACATTCTTTGCTCTTTACACATCTTTAACCATATTTCTGAGTTGCATATTTCAGTTTGGAACCATCACTATAAGAAGTCTTTATTGGAGTGAATTCTGAATTGTCAATTACAGTTCTGTAATTTTATACCTGCAAAATAGTAATTCATTCCAACTCGCAGATCTTCATCACAGTGCTTGGGCAAAGATGAGAAGCATCAAGTATTTATGGAGATTAGGAACTGTCTTGACATTGTGGAGCCCATTGATGTAAAACATTTGGATGAAGTGGTGAATTTCTGAGTCTATTTTGTTTCTAATTCTCTCCTGTTTCTCTCTCTCTCTCTCTCTCTCTCTCTTTTGGGGTTTGTTTGAATTTGTTACTGGGTTCTTATGCTAGCCATTGATATATAGGTAGAAAGAGTGAAGTCTGCAACTACATCTTTAAGAAGAATTCTTGTGTCTCCCCTATTTTCTGAGTTCTATTCAGATAATGGACCAGTTGATATGATGGATGAAGATGCTATATCCAATCTTTCAATACGTGTGAAGTTAAGTTTGACAGTTTGGGGCTTCATTTTGCCTGCAACTCCATCGCTTCCTGCTGTATTTGGTGTATCCAATATCTTTGCTAATTTATGTGTTTTTTGAAATTTCTAATATCTCTAGATGACCAATTGTCAGTTTTCTCTTGATGTTCCTCATGAAGAATATGTATGGTATTATATAGTTCCAGACTAGCTGTCCATGAGAAGACTGAAAATTTGAATCTAAAGATGTGGGGAAGTAAATATACTAGTGCCACTGGCTCTTAAAAGAAAAGCAAAGGTGCTTCAAACAATATAGTTATGAAGAAACCAAAAACATTAAATAAGACACACATTCATTGAGTACATATAAAATCAAAGGCCAAGCATATTACGTTGTGATTTGGTGCACACCTTTCAATTTATACTAGTACATTTTGCATATTTCAGTAGGTACATGAAGTTGCTAAAAGCATGTATAATTATGAGTAATTACCTTTGAAAATAATGAAAACAGAAATGCTTTGGCATGCTTTCTGCCATGTGATTGAGACTGTTACTTAGAGTCTGCTTTATCCAATCTTTGCCGTAGAACCTTGAGTGCTAATCTTTTGCAATATCTTCTATTGTTAGCATATTGTGTGCTAGATGACATATAACAGGTAACTTTTATTGTTGTCTCCACTTTAACTATATAATAGATATCTGATACTGTAATT